GATATTTGGTAACACACAGCCGGCACACAGCTCTAGCTCTTAGTTTGTGAGGTCGTATGCAAGACTGGAACAACACTGGTGCTGGAAGACAGCTTGCCGCACGCTGTCGCGAGTAAACAGGCACATGAATGCAGAGTAATCATTGTCAATGTGCCTGAATTCTGTGGTAGGAGCAGTTTACGGCGCGATCGGTGCTTGCTCAAAGTGATAGCACCCGTCGAACGAGACCGATCTATCAAGCCGAGTGCTTCTAGAATCGCGGTTAGTTGTCCAGTACCGATAATTGAATACTAGTACGTTAATGTGTATAGAAGCTGTAATTGCGCTCCATACATGTATAGGCAAGTAACGCTGTAAAGGACTCAGTTTGCATCACTATTAGGAAAGGAAGTCGACTTTGAAGCATAAAAGATTACGCTTCCTACAACACTTGTTGCAACGTGCATATCTAGCTAAATGAACGCTGTTCAGATGCAGTACCAAGGCTATTGAAGTAACCTTATGAGGCAATGGGTATTTCAGGTACCTCTCTGGCCCGCTTCAAAATGACGATTGGGGTTTTAAATAAATCGCACATAACCGAGTAAATTGGTTTTATGGAAAAAAAAGTAACAAGTTCTTATACTTGTCTCGCGTCCAAATTTTAGAGATTCTAATTCGTTTCTGCGTATACGAGTACATCCTATGGAAGCTAATCATTTAATTTAATCGTCCTTAAAATTAGGTGTAATATCGCTTAATATTGACTGAACTGCGTCATAAACCCTCATGGGATTCAAACTGCGGAGAGTTTGAGCGCATGGTGCTCATCCGTACCTGTTGCTAGTGCAACAAAAACATATGCTCAGGTGCACTAAACGGAGGGCTTTTCAATGGTGTGCTTACCGCTTTCTGCCGAGGTCAGGCTTTAAAGTTATCGGTAAATGTATTAAAGCGTTATTTTGAAGCGGGCCAGAGAAGTAATAATGCTTGAGCAGAATAGTATCGGCTGTGTTGGCACTGACAACAGCTTAAACCAATGTCATTCAGCTCGATTTCCCGTAGAACTAACGATATGAGTGCGCGTTAGACCATTGTTTCAATAAGAACGTGCTTTTTCAGATCAGTAACTAAGTTAAAGATGCCATAACTCCTTAAAAGCGCCTTAAGATAGATTTGTGTCGTTGTACTGTAATTAAGGTGGAGTAACGAGAGTTGCTCGAAAACACAACAGCGATACTCTCTTCTTCGTTGTCTCTACATCAATGTCCTAAATCAAGCCTTGCCACTAGCACAAGTTTCGCTGCAAGCTGCATGTCGTAAATTAACTATGTGTTCTATCTGGGGAAGGAACGTACGTCGCGTTAAATGCATGATACTAAAGTCATTATTACAATAGTAGGCCTGAAGGAGGCTGTATGTCCTCTGGGTGTATTTATCCATTGAAAGTTGTTTTTATTAGCAGTTTGACTGCTT